TCTCTCGTTTCAGTCTGCATCAGATTCATCCTCCCCTGACTTGCAACAACCACACGTACGCATCATCCTTTACTACTCTTTTTTCTTCAATTCTCAGATGAAGCCTTTTCTTGTTTTCTAGAGTTTCTTTATAATGCTTACTACTTTTTAAGGTTGCTTCTGTTTATATAATTCCTCAATTATAAGACTTTTTTAGCCAAACTTTGTTTCACCATTCAAAGATATATACTTCTCAGATTGCAAGTATTTGTATCCTGCGCTTTTCATTCATGATGACTTTTCTTAATTTTGTTACTCTCCCTTTAATATGCTCGCACCCTGTTAGATTCACTGGAGACTTTTTTTTTGGTTCTTTTCTTAATTATTCCTAACAAACGGTGATGAGATTACAGTTCAGTTATTAAGGAAAGAAAAACATTTATATTTCCCAAGTCTTAAGGTCACCTTCATTGCTTTGCTAATATATAATTTGTGGTTTTCTTCTGAATCTAAATTGATACATAGACGGAAGATGAGGCGATCAGCATAGACATAAAAGCAATGACAGAGATTAGCGAAGATGGTTTCTTGTCACCTTTGTGTTGTATCTACAGAGTGCCCTCAAAGATCCGTATTCTAAAAGAGGAAGCCTACACTCCTAAAGTGGTTTCCATCGGTCCTTTGCATCACTGTGACGCCAGGCTGCAAGATATGGAGAGCCACAAAGAAATAATGTTTAAAAGATTTGCACAAAATGCTATGACAGACTTGAACACTTTGGCTGACTTGGCGAAACAGTGTGAGCCAATGGTTCGTGCTTCTTATTTTGAGAGCATCAACTATAGCAAGAAGGATTTTGTGAAACTGATATTAGTGGATTCTACTTTCATCATTCAACTCTTTATTATGCACTACAAACGTCAGATGAAACGTGATGCCAAACTATCACAATCACGGTTGAGGATTGATATGCGTTGTGATTTGCTTTTACTTGAGAATCAACTTCCATTCTTTTTCCTTGAAGTGCTATATGATATAGCCTTTCCTCATAACCGTAGAGGTCATCTCCCTTCATTTATTCAGCTTAAATATTCCTACTTTGACCAGCATAACATGCAAAAGTTAAGGCCTAATCACAAGATAAAACATTTCACAGATCTTCTCAGATTATTTTATTTATCGAGAACCAACATGAAAAGAGATTCCTTCAAAGGGATGGACCCGATATGCTTAGATACACTGCAAATGAGTTACAAGAGGCAGGAGTGAAGTTAGAGGTAAGCACAAGCAAGTGCTCACTAGACTTGGAATTTTTAGGATCTGTTTTACAGATTCCTCAAATTAAAGTCGACGATAAGACTGAATTTTTGTTTCGAAATGTCATGGTTTTAGAACAGTGTCATTATCCATTTGGAACATATTTTTGTGACTATATGCTTGTATTGGACAACCTAGTTAACACAAATGAAGATGTGGAGGTTCTTGCTCATAAAAAGGTTATCAACAACTTGCTAGGTGATGTCAAAGAGGTTGCTACATTATTTAAAGGTCTTGGGAAAAATATAAATTATTGCAATTTCAGTAAAAAAAACACCTTGACGTTTCACAAAGTTTGAATGAGTTTTATGAAGATCCTTGTCGCAACGAAAAGGCAACTTTGGAGGCAAGTTTGAAGGCAACTTTGGAAAGAGATAGCAACACACCCTGGAAAACAGTGGCTTCTATTACTGCAATCATACTTTTCATTGTCACCATCATTCAAACCATATGTTCCATCCTCCAAGTTGTATAAAAGTAGAAACCTACATTTGAAGCTTGGTAGTCTATTTTAGTTTTCTGTCCTTGAAAATTTATGTTCCCTTGCTGATTTTATTCAGCCTTTACTGTTGCACCATCTGTAGGATAACAATAATAATTGTGATCCTTATTTTTGGTTTTCTTTATCAATCACAAACAATGAAACAACACAATATAGAATCAATTATGATTAAGTATAAAATATCAACTTTTTTCCATCCAACAATTTACAAATCACTTATCAAAATATTTATACGTTGAAGTAGGAAATCTAAATAATCAAATCTGATATGATCAGCTATTATAAACTTGTAGTGAACTCTCCGCCCAATACAAAGGAGGGTGCACTGCCGCAGTTATTATATGTTCCTTATTTCCTGGCATTCAATATGGACCAGAGTTGTCTTCAATATGAAGCAACTCTATCCTTAGAGTCATCTTCCTCCAAACATTCAATAGGCTTTAGTGCTTTACTACTCCTCATTCTACACATGAGAACTAATTTTCTATGACTAGAATGCCCTTGCACCTAAATCAAATTTTCCAATGAGCCCACTCTTTCAACATGTATTACATTATATCCTTGTTTTGAAATAATTGTAAAATGAGTTAATTTTCAATGTTATTGAAAGTATATCTTATTAAAAAAAGCTCTTTCTCCTGCTGCTGTGTCAACAAGCACAGCCATTGTTGACTTCAGAAAAAGATAAGCCCATGAATGTGTTCCAATTCAATTTCAACTATTTTGTTTCACAAGACCACTAATTCCCTTAAAAGATATAAATTCAACATTACTAATGATAAAAGTCTCAAGCTGGGAAGAAAAGTTACCTGAATAATAAATTGGTTTATTTGCCTTAGACAATCATTACAAAGAAGCAGTTTAGTTCATTAATTATCTTGATCATCAGGATAATATGTTGTTTCTTGAATTTGATGACAGATTTTCTAAATTAACTTCGATTTGCTATTATAGTAGATTTGATTCGGAAAGTTTAACTTGACGAAAACCGTTGCTTATATGGTAATGTTCTCTTAAAAATAAATCTATCTTGTATTTAAAATCCAGGAAATTTGCAATTATTTAATTAAATTTTTTTAAGAGCTTCACCAAAAGAAACCAAATTATTGTTTATCTATGTATAAAAGTTCTATAAGTTTACATGATAATCTGAAATAAAATATAAAATAGATAAAATTCAAATTAGGGTATTGTTTTATAAAAATTAGGCTAAATTATACATAACGTCCGTGAATTTTGAATCATGTACATATAACACCTCCAACCTTTGGAACTTTTTACAATGAACACGTTAAGCTTTTATATTTATGCAAATAATACCCATATGATTAATTTTGTACATTACTCATCCTCATGCAGTTTGAAGTTTTGGGAGACTATTTATATATGAATCAAAGTTTGTATATAACTAATAATATGTGAAGTGTTGTTCGCATAGACATGAAAACTGATAAAGGCTTATTATTAAATTGTAAAGGTCCGTGGTTATTTGTAGATGATTCAAAGTTTATAAGAGATTGAATATGAGTAATGCTGTATAAAAATTATAGTAAAGTTTAGGTTTGATGGGTTGAAATTGGGCCTGGCTTTAAGTTAAACTGCAAATCGAAAGGGAAAAAAATTCGATAACTTGTGTGTCATCATGAGCCAAACAAACCAGCAATTCCTCTTTGTTTTTAAATTTTAGATGACATGATATGCTTGCTCAAAAAAAAAAAAAAAAAGATGACATGATATGCAATATAGGCTGATATGTTTCATATCGGCAACTATGTTGCGCCACTCCTTCTTGTCTTTATTATAAGAAACTGTTAACAAATTCCCATGTATCAAAAAAAAAAAAAAGTTACGAACATTGAATTTGTCATAAAGTGATTTTCAATATTATCCTTACTAACTACACCGAATTCTAAGAATATTATATTAATTTATATTCTCTCACTACTTTTTTTTTTTACCAGCCTCTCACTACTTTTCTTAAATATGAATATTCTGGTAAGAAAAATTAATATGAATATGCATGTGTATATATGTAAATATTTAATGCTCATTACAATTATTATAAAAATTTATAAAAAGAACCAAATTTGTTTTCTAAAAAGGATCCTACATAAAAAGGACGAGCAGAAATAGTTTTATGAGTAAATGTTATAAAATGGCGCAGGTGATTCCCACACATTCACTGACTACATGGCTAAAGACAAAAATGCCGAAAAAGGTTCTGGTTCAGGAGTGAGAAGCTGTCTCTTGGAGTTTGTGCAATACACCGCCTCTGCTGCATTTTAGCGGCGGAGGAAAAGCCGGAGAGAAAACTCCGCTGCCCACTGCAGCGGAGGAAAGAGTGAGTTTCCTAGAGAGAAATCTCCAAATGGAGAAAATAGTTGAAACAGGGCTCGTGGAAAAAGGAGAACGCTCTCCCATTGCTGATGAAGAACGAATACCGAAGAAAGTGAAGGTGAAAGATAAGGATGACGGAACGGAAAATATGGATACAGAAGATAATGTGAATCAGATGGCAACACCCGGGGACGAGCCTAATGTGCAAAAGCAGCTTTTTGCAGAAGGAGATAAGGAAGGGAAAGATGGTCTGACTGGACGAACCACTAGTCACATGGAGTATGAGGATTTTAACAAGGAGACGGCAGAAGGAGAATGCTCAGCTCATCCTACCTTTAAGGAAAAACTTCTAGGACAGGATGCAGCCAACCAAGGGAGAGAAAAGAACGACACTGACGAGTTCTCACTCGAGCAAGAAGATGTGGTTGTAGCGATGGACGGTCTTATTCCTTCCATCACTTTCTCCAAAAGGATTCATGACTATATGTATCAATGTATGCAATATGCTGTCGTTGTTAAACTCCTGGGGCGCTACATACGCCAAGAGACGTTATTTGGAAAAATTGTTACTATGTGGAAACCTACTGGTAACTTCAAGCTTACGGAGCTTGAGGGGGGTTGTTTCATGGTTAAATTTGAGAACGCCACTGACTATCAGAAGGCAATGTTGGGAGGTCCTTAGGTAGTGCTCGGGCATTATTTAACGGTGCATCCATGGGAGCCTTCCTTGTCTCCCTCTAACCTGGAAATCAAGCAAGTCTATGGCTGGGTGAGATTGCCTGGTTTGCCATATCATTACTATCACAAAAGTGTGCTTAGGGCAATTGGAAATGTGATCGGTCAAGTTTTAAAAATAGATTACAATATGGAAGGATTAGATAAGGCCAGGTTTGCTAGATTGGCAGTGAAGCTTGATCTTACAAAGCCTCTAGTCTCAAAATTAAGGCTCGATGGGATTACCCAGTATGTAGAATATGAAGGACTACCTACCATCTGCTACCAATGCGGCAGATATGGACACTTAGAAGCCACATGCCCGCTTAAGCTGCAGGCCTCCAATCCTGAAACTTCAGTTCATGCTGAACAGGAGATCAGTCCGAAGAATTCTGCTGTGAATGTTCAGACCTCGCCGATAGCAGTAGAAGGCCAAGCACGTGCCGTTCAGGCGCGTGAGAGTAACATGTTTGGTGCTTGGATGAAGGCGCCAACCCGCAACTGGCGAAGCCGGAATCCGTGCCGATCTACAGATAACAACTCCATGCCTGGTGACAGTGGTAGAAATAGGTTCAATATTTTAGCTACCCCCGAGATGTCAGAGGAACAGGAAGAAGGAAATAATCGTACAGAAAGCCCTGATGTAAGGATGTCAGTCTCATCTGCTGGTCAAGTAAACAGGAACACAAGGAAGGATCCCCCACGAAGGCAACGATTTCTAGAGGACCGAAGCAAGCAAAAGGACTGAGTCCAAAGAAAACCACAGCTAATAAAACCTCCGCCGAATCCTTGTTCGAAACTCGAGCATACAAAGAGATGAGAATCCCGACGACGCTAGATCCAAGCAAGCACACAGCTGTGACTATCATTGATAAGAGAAAGGCGCTTAACCCTGTCAAAGACGTAGCCAAAACTTCACTTGGGCCAAAAGCAAAGCCCATGAAAAGGGAGGGGAAAGAGAATCTGCTTCCTAAGCCACCGGATCGAAGCCCACAAAGAGGAGGTTTTAAAGTTCAACCAAATATTAAAATCAAAAACACTCGGCCCAAGTCAACAGAAGAGGCTGGGACGCCTTCTCGGGAAATAGCCAAAGCTTTGGCTGAAGCCATTGGAGCAACAGTGCCCTCTGATGAAGAAACAACATTCGTGGAAGCTATGGACTATGGCATTGATGATGACATGGGTCCAGAGCCCCCTGATAAAGAAAATTAATCAACCTTGCAATATGAATAGCTCAATATTCGTCTGGAACTGCCAAGGAGCAGCCTCGAATAGTTTTCACAGAGTGCTAAAATCTCTTCTGCAGGATTACCGACCGGACATTGCCGTGTTGGTGGAGCCGAGGATTTCTAGAACTAAAGCAGATAATGTTATTAAGAAACTGGGGTATCCAAACTCTCACAGAGTAGAGGCCACAGGTTTCTCCGGCGGCATCTGGCTTTTATGGACAATGAAAGTGCAGGTTAGAATTCTTGTTAATCATCAACAATTCATCCATACTTCTATCTGTAATGATGCAGGACAAGGACAGGCTCTCTTTACAGCGATATATGCAAGTCCCACCCATGCTGGGAGGAAAACACTTTGGGCAGAGCTTATCAACCTAGAGCGGGACGAAAGTTCTGCATGGCTATTGGCTGGCGATTTTAATGCCACCCTAAATCAAGGAGAACGACAGGGAGGTTCTAGCTTATATCAGTCGGGGTGCAAGAATTTTCGTCATCTAATGCAAAACTTGGGCTTGTTGGATCTCGGATATAATGGGCCTCGTTTTACTTGGCAGAGAGGCAATGTAATGGTTCGTTTGGATAGGGCTTTATGCAATGAGAAATGGCTTACACTTCAACCCTCAACTCAAGTGCTCCATCTCCCTAAGGCCCAAAGTGATCACAGACCCTTATTGATAAAGACAGAAGAAAACGAACGTAAAAGCACAGCGCCCTTCCGTTTCCTTGCTTCTTGGATCCTCCACCCCGATTTTTCTAATCTAGTCTCAAAAAATTGGGCCTGCAATGTTAGTCTTGCCGAAAACATCTCTAGGTTCGTGGCTAAGGCCCAAACTTGGAACCTAGAGGTCTATGGGCAGATTGGACGTCAGAAACGCCAACTCAGAGCCAGAATCAATGGGCTTCAACGTGCACTTGAACGGACTCCTTTCTCTACCTACCTCATTGACCTCGAACGTTCATTGCGCACTCAGTACGAAGAGATCCTTCTACATGAGGAGCTTCTTTGGATGCAAAAAGCCCGAAGCCAATGGATTTGTGAGGGAGACCGTAATACAAGATTCTATCACACCTCAGCATTAATTCGGAGACGTAGAAGCAGAATTCTGATGCTGAGGAATGGCGAGGATTTATGGGAGTCGGATCAGAATGTTCTGAATCAAATGGCAGCCAGTTTTTTCAGAACTTTATATACCCCAGAGCACTCCTTGCGCCACCCTTATCGATACAAGAATCTTTTTCCTCCGCTTACAGGACCCATGATCCAGTATCTCGAAAACCCAGTTACAAAAGCAGAAACCAAAAAAGCACTCTTTGACATGTCACCGCTAAAATCACCCGGAGTTGACGGGCTTCACGCTCTGTTCTTCCAATCTCAGTGGGAAACTATAGGGGATTCTCTGTTTGAAGAAGTTAAGAAAATTTTTGAAAGAGGAGAGCTTGACCGTCAGTTTAATCGCACCTTAATAGCTCTGATCCCGAAGATGGAACAACCACAGCGCCTAAAGGACTTCAGACCTATTAGTCTCTGCACTACAGTCTATAAGCTTATCACCAAAATTATTGCTAATAGATTGAAAGTGGTCATGCCTACTCTTGTGGCCCCGAACCAGTCCAGCTTTATCCAGGGGAGAATATTATTGACAATGTTATAATTGCCCAGGAGGCTATACATTCGATGAGGAAGAAGTGTGGCAAAGTTGCATGGATGGCCATAAAAGTCGATCTAGAAAAGGCATTCGACCGTATAAGTTGGGATTTTATAGAAGAAACTTTGAAAGATGCCCACATTCCTGTGTCGCTAATCAGGGTTATTATGAAATGTGTCACACAACCTATAATGCAAGTAATCTGGAATGGAGCTCCTTCGGAAGAATTTGAACCACAGCGAGGTATACGGCAGGGTGACCCTATCTCACCGTACCTGTTCGTTTTATGTATGGAACGCTTCTCCCAAGCAATAGCTCACCATGTAAATATGCAAATGTGGCAGCCTATACAAATGGGGCGCGGAGGTCCCCCTCTCTCGCATCTCTTCTTTGCAGACGATCTTATCCTCTTTAGCTCAACTAAAGACACTCAAGTTGACTTAATACACCAGCTACTTGATGAATTCTGCAGCTCCTCGGGACAAAAAGTGAGTGATTCTAAGACTAGAATTTTTTTTTCGAAAAACATCTCCCCGCAAGAGGCCACCAACATATGCAGAAATTTGGGCTTCCAGAGAACTGAGAACCTTGGTAAGTACCTTGGCATACCCCTCCTTCACAGCAAAGTTACTAAGGAGACTTATAGATATATAGAAGAAAGGGTGCGACAGAAGCTCGCAGGGTGGAAAGCACGTTCTCTCTCATTTGCAGGGAGAATAACTTTAGCTACATCAGTACTTTCAGCCATTCCAATTTATGCCATGCAGTCTACAAAGCTTCCAGCTACAACGTGTGCTAACATTCAATCTATGATCAGGAGTTTTGTTTGGGGCAACACAGTTCAGCACAGGAATGTACACCTGATGAAATGGAGCACTCTTTGCCAGCCCAAAGAATGTGGCGGGTGCGGACTGAAAGATACCATGACTCAGAACTATGCTCTCTTGATGAAAATTGCGTACGGTGTCATAACACAGCCTGAGTCCTTATGGGTACAAGTTTTGCGGAAAAAATATAAATGGGGGGAAAAGGTCTATAACAAAGCTGCACCACAGAGCGCCTCCCACCTCTGGAAAAGCCTGAGCTATGTCTGGAAGGAGACTGAATTGGGTTTGTTTTGGCAAGTAGGAAACGGGAATCAGGTCCGTTTCTGGTCTGACTATTGGGTGGGTGACTTGGGTCCACTTAAGAATCTAACGACCGCTCCTGTCGAGGAGGGTGAACTTCAGAAGCCAGTGAGAGCTTTTGTAACAGAGGGTGGTGACTGGAACTGGAATCTTTTTGACAAAATATTACCAAAGGAATCCTTAGTGCAAATAGCTGGAATTGAGCCGCCGTCTGACAATAGAGATACTGTAAGAGCATATGGCATTTAACAGGCCATGGGAGATTTACGGTCCAATCTGCGTATAGACTTCTTGCTGAACAAGATTGGAACGAAAAGGACTCACGCTGGAGATTAGCTTGGAAATGGCCCGGGGCGCAACGTGTAAGAACTTTCCTTTGGCTTGCCTTGAACAACAGATTACTCACTAACGAAGAGCGGCTTCGGCGCCATATGACCCTTAATCCAGCCTGTGAAGTCTGCAAAAATGAAACAGAAGATCTAGACCACGTTTTAAGACGGTGCCCGCTAGCCCAAGATAGTTGGAAGCTTATAGTTCCCCCTCAGTTCCACCCCCAATTCTTTGGAGAGCCTTTTAACCACTGGATGGAAGGCCACCTAAAACCCGTTAACTCAGACTCGAATTGGTGCATCACGTTTGGGCTGCTTTGTTGGAAGCTCTGGGAAGCAAGAAACAGAAGATTGTTTTGTGAGGAAGATACGCCAGCACATAGGCTAGTCAATGAAGTTCTTTCGTTGAGCGAACACACAGCCAAGACCAATGTACGACTTAAGGCTCTAGTCACCTTGTGAAGCTTTCGACGTTTTTGCTGCTGTTGTTTTCTTGTTTTTCCTGTTTTTCTTGCTTTTTGAGTTGTATCCTTGAGTGTTTTGTTCAATAATATCTTCTCGTTGCACTCAAAAAAAAGACAAAAATGCCGATCAGGTCCCAAAAAAAAAAAGAGACAGACAAAAATGCCGACGGAAGAGATGGGATCATAAGATGACGTAAAAGACATTGGCCCACGAAACGGAGACAGCTACAATTAAGGAGGGAGGGATTGTTATTTTATGTGCCGTATTTCTTGACATTCGATAGTCTGCATCAAAGTCGCCTTCAATGCGAACCAACCCCCGCTCTATCAATAAATACTCCAGTCAGTATGTGCCGTACTTCTTGACATTCAATAGTATGCATCAAAGTCGTCTTCCGTGCGAACCAACCCCAGCTGAGCTCTATCAATAAATACTCCAGCCAGTCGCTCGCTCACTCACTCTCACTCACACACGTACACACACGCACACGCGCGCGAGCACACTCACTCTCACTCACACACGCCCACACACGCACACGCGGGCGAGCACAGAGAGAGAGAGAGAGCACTAAGAAAAGCAGACAGAGCACCAAGAAAAGCTTTGTCCTAGGTAGAGTATAAGTTATTACGGTGCAGTTATTAATACAATAACTAGTTTAATTTTTATTTTAGTTTTAAATATGAAACTATAATTTTTTTATATTTATTTATTTTTTAAATAGTCTTTATAGTAATAATAGTTCTAGCTAATACATTTGATTATTAAGAATATTATAGAAAATACAATATATATTTATTATGAATATCTAACTTATCATTAATTAAAGTGATAAGTACCGAAACTAGTTATTAATACAATAACTAATTTCGGTACTTATAACAACTCATGAGCTTATAACGTTGATTAAAATGATAAGTACCGAAACTAGATCTTTTGCTACTTGAGCACGCAC